ACCCAAGTCGGGGAAGCGCAGGTGCAGCCAAAGCACACGGACTCTCGGGGGACAGACCAGGGTTAAAGACACTGACAAAATAGTTCTGGCAGCGAATTTAAATGTGGATGAACCACACGAGGGACTGCAGACGCAGACCTGGAATGAGGACTGTCTTAAGAATTAAAGACACAAAAAGCCTCCCGGCCTGCTAGGATAAAACTGGGGGCTTTTATTATTTCCAGCCAGCTCACCCTGGCTCGTTGTAGAACTTGTAAAAGTGGATGCCTGTGAATGGGCTTTTTAAAAGTTCCTGATTAAGGAGAAAGATCTACCATTTAATAGCTTGGTAAACGGGAATGGTAAAAACAATTGTTCTTTGTTGTATGTGTTGGTTTATAAAAATAGTTTCAAAATAGTTTCATGTTCTAGGTCCTGCTAACAATTTTTTTTTTTTTTTTTTTTTTTTTTGCTTCATTTGTGTTCAGTTTCTCTGGAAATGAAAACCACAAGTGCAGCAAAGCTGTTTGCACCTTTTTCGATATCACAGGCTTCCCATACCCAGAATGCACTTTGCATGGCTCCAGCCCAAATCACTCTAAGTCCTGTCCTTGTAAGAGGCAAAGCCGTGTCCTCTGCACACACGTCCAGCCCGGGGGCAGCGCGGTATTGTCAGGAGAGGATGCTGGCCCAGGGAAAGGGGACATGTATCCCACAGTGTCATCTCACCTGCCCTTCCCAATTGGCATGAAGGCCACAAGGATTTTCAAAGCCATATTGATATTTTTTGAAGGAAGCATCTGGTTCTTTGGCAGCTCTGCAGGAGAAATGTTGGTGGTTGGAGTTTCTCCTGCATCAACCACATGGTTTAGATATGGAAAGGGTTCCTGGCATTTTCATGTCCCGGTTTCTGGGCATGAAAAATGTGAAAAAGCTAAAGTCTGTTTGCACTTGCAAAACCTCTTTGAAGTTTTCAAGGCTAAAGTAAAAATCTTCCTTATTTAAAAAAAATTCTTCTGAGTTGCATCTTACCTGTATTCATGGAAAACTTTTTTATTACCTAACCATAATATCTGCATGTCTGGGGTTGGTATCAGAAATATCAGTAGGAATTACAGAGAAATGGCTTTTTTAAAAAATCACTAGGAAAATTAAAATAGCATTTGAAAATTTTTCTTCGTTTAAGTATTTCCAAATTCAGTGGTATTTATTCAGCAATGATGATGTTCCATACCAGATACTGGATTTGGAGGTTTGTCAAGTTCTTCATTCGGATGCCTCAGAACCTTCTCAGTGCAGGTGTACCCATTATTTGATGTTGCTCTAAGGAAATGTCTGAGGCTGGGTACTTTATAAAGAAAAAAAGGTTTGTTCAGCTCATAGATTTGAAAGCTGAAAATCACTGGCTCCTAGGAGGGTTCCTTGGCTATGTCACATCATGGAAGGGTGGCTTATGGGTGAGGGGTGGAGACAGGGAACCAGAGAGGGGAGGGGTAGATTGCTCTTTTATAACAATCTTCTTGAGAGAACTCACAGAGGGGTCCTGAGAAGGAAATGCTGATCTCTTTTGAGGACAGCACCCCAATGATCTAACACCTCCTGCCAGGCCCTGCTTTTTAAGGTCCCACCACCTCGCAAAATGACCACACTGGGGACCAAGCCTTGTGTGTCCCCATCGGGGACATACTCACACCATATCCAAACATAGCATCCATTCATTAGGGTTTCCACATGACTTGTCTTTATTTTACTGAAAAATTTTTTCATGTTGCATATCTTGGTAAACATTGATCACTTAATCATAATTCACTATGTAACTAAATGTTTTTTTGTTTCATGGCTGTTCATTCATTGACTTCTCAATCATTGGGTACTGCCAAGGGGACAGATCACTGGGTCTGTAACTTGCTTTGTGAACCTTTTAGCATAGCATTCATATATGTAAAAATTCCTTTTTTAATTTTTTATTTTTACGAATACACATTTGCAATATGCGAGGATCGCCTTCCTTGTGAGGAACTGGGACAGGTGTGTAACACAGCTTCATTCTTTTTACCTCCCTTCCTTTCATTTCCCCTTTCCTTCCTCCATCTTTTGGTCCCTTTCCCTCTTGCAAAAGATCTTTTTTCTTGTTTCCTATTTTTATTTTTCTCTTTAATTGTTTATACATTGGGTTTCTCCTGTAAGAGAAACCATGAAACATTTAAGCTCGTCTGGGTCATGCATTTCACTTGACATGATGCTCTCAAGGTGCGTTCTGTAACAGATGCCTACTGTGGTCCTACTGTGTGACGCTTTTAGCCATGGTCTTGAAAGCACAGTTCTTCCTTATCGGGATTATATTTAGCAGGACAGATGGCTAAATAAAGCAACATGTCTTAGCTTGGAATATATTTGTGCTGCAGAGAAAACACAACGAATGATGGGGGTGAGGCAGAGCCATTATAGATGGAATGCAGTCCTCTTTGGGGTGGCTTGGGAAGCCCACTGGTGACGTGACATTTAATCTGAGATCAGAAAAGTGAACCATACAGAGGTTTTGGGGGAAAGCCTATGAAACAAAAGAAACAGCAGGGACAAGAGCCATTCTCCTAGCTGGATCAAGAGACAAAGAACAGAGACAGGAGGCCAGTGTGACGGGGCAGGATGAGCGATGGGGGGAAGGCCAGGGGTGCCGTGGCTGTGGGGTGAGGAGGAGAGGTGTGTGATTGGCTCAGAGGGGGCCTGGGTGGCAGGATCTTGCACAGTGATGAATTTGACATTTATTCTAAATGCAGAGGGCAACTATGGAGAGTTTAAAGCAAGGGAAGAATATGATTTTATCAACACCTGCCGGTTTATACAATAAGTACCGTGAAGATGGTAGTATTGAAAGCCTGTATGAAGTTACGTGGAAGAGGGTCCCACGTGCTGGCTGAGGAGCAGATCTGTCTTCCACATGTTTTGTGGAAAGTGAAAAGAAATGTTGTATGCGGAATGGGCCGGGAGATTAGATCTCACTGTATTTCTAACAGTTTAATATTCATCACCTGGAGGAGATATATGCAGTTTTATCTGCATATGGGCATAAATTGTTCATTCGAGTCGGGCATGCCAATTTTAGCTAAGGTCTCTTCTTAATTTTGATTGTATGTCCCTTGTGGCTACGTGTCAAAATATGACAGATCACCATAGGCCAACCTGGGCTTAATGAATAGGAAACCATGGAATTTATATGATTTGGGGGCACACGGGGGCTTTTCTAATGCCAATTCCAAGGATAAGTGGCGTGGAGGTTATTTGATTAATTGGACAAGCATAAACTCTTGCTTCAGCCTCCTGCCTGTCATCCGAACACAGAACAGTGCAGATTAGGTGAGTTTGCACTTCTGAATTAAAATCATGATACGTTTTTTTTCACCATTAACAGAGCATTTTGCTTAGCGTGGCACTGTCTTTTATCTAAGCTTTGACAGTGTTCCTGCATAGGGAATTCTTTCCTACAAGTGAGTGGTTTTTCTAAGGTGTATGTCACAAACGCTGGCAGATGCCATGCCTTTGTGATAAGCCCACTTGGTGGGCGATTTCTGGGTGAAGCCACCTGTCCCATTTGCAGAGCTGGAAAATCCCATGTGGCTAGGAGGTCTTCCCTGAACTCCTTTGCTAGGGTGGAATTTGTGAGCCACCAGGCAAATGCAGTTTTGAACTTTCGGAAAGTATGAATTTACATACTTTGGGCTCTGTGTTGGCTTCTTTGGGAAAACGCAGTGGCCTGGTTTGGCTTATCCATCAAAGTGACAAAGAAGAATGTACAACTGAGAAGATTGCTAGAATGTGCTGACCATGAACCTGAGTGCCAGCTGACCCGCTGGGACCACGTGATGTCCAGTCTGATGAGCTGCGATTAGTGTATTCACGCCTCTCTTCTGGGGAGTAGAAGAAATAGAATCTGAGAAGTTTCTATCACTAGGGAGATCCACTCCTAAACATTCAGATTCACTGTGTCTTAAAAATTCTACAACTTGATAACTTTCAAGAAGCTCGGTGATGAAATTTAGTAGTAGTGGAGAAAAGGCCAACCCCTGATGGAACCTCTTCTATAGATTTTCATGTTTTGTTATTCATGTCAGTTTCTTTGGGATTGCATAACTGACTCAAACTGCTTTTGATTTGAATAGCATTTTACACTGCTACAATAATTCTTTGACTTTTCAAAAATTCTTGCTTTGTCTTTTTGGAAAAGTTACGTAGGATAGGCATTGTAATGCCCACTTTCAAGATAAAGTCACTGATGATTTTTCTGAGGTAGATACCTAGCAAATTATGAAAATGGGTCCAACATAGATGAGCTAGCACTGAAGCACTGTGCTTCTGTGCTTTTCAGACTTCACAGAAAGAAATTGTTAGATGCAAAATTCAGCAAAGTTTAACTCTTTCCAGTTTGAAAAGGAGGCAGAGGAAAATAAATGCTAGTATTTTCTTTGGCACTGAGGGAATTGAATTGTTAGCTTACAGGCCATTTGCACTGACATTGAAATCTGTCTTTTAAAATTTCACATTAGGATTTGGTAAGATTTTAGTTTTTGCTATCTTCTGTTGAATCAAGAGCATGTGGGAGGGTGATTAGATTGAATGACTTGGTAATAAAAGAAAATGGTGAAAACAGATCTAAATTTTATTTCTTTTACTTTTGTGTTTAACTTTGTTTTTAAACTAGAAACTCTCTTACCTTTTAGTTTTAAACTTCTAATAGAGAAAACCTTGTAATCGCGGTACTCAGAGAGGTTGAGGTAGGGGCATTGCAAGTTTGAGTCCAACCTGGGCAACTTAATGAGATTCCGCCTCAAAACCCGGGGAAAAACTGTAAAAAGAAGGGCTTAGGTTCAGGGTGAAGGAGGCCTTGGGTTCAGCTGTCAATATGAGAGACAGAGGGTTAAGAATCTGGCCAGGCTATCAGCGGGTGAATCTGGCCCCAGTGGCACAGGACTCCTCAGTGACGGAAGTTTCCTCCTGTAGCCCCCTCCCCGTTCTCTTCCTTGCAGGGAGCAGCCAGGAGGCTCTTCCATCTCCAGGATCCACCTACCAACTCTCCAGGGCCTGAAGCCAAGCTGTGCACTGGAGCCCTGCTTCCACTTGCATGTGCAGGACAAGATCCCTGGAAGCCAAGGCCACAGCTGTGAGTGAGTGGAACAGCAGCTTCCAGTCCCCAGAACTGCACTGTCCTTGCCAGGGGTGTGACAGCAGATTCCTGCCTCAGCATCCTGCCCTCAAGGTCACCCTCTGGTGGAATGGATGACACTAGGGCATTTTCATTTCTGTTGCTGCTGATGACTAGGAGAAGGGTCCTTGCTCTGTCATTTTTCTGCCCTTTGTAGACAACAACAACAAGGAGGTCTCCAGGGGTGCCTGGGCTTTGGGTGCTCAGGAGGATTTGGGAGGATGAAATGATGGTGTCTCTGCTGGGTGGCACTCTTTCGGGAGCAGACAAATGTCATGATCTTTGGTTGGAGCTCTCCTGGTGTGGGGTACTGTCTGAGGACCCAAGCAGAAATGGAGTTCTCAATCATTTGTTACATCTTGTTTCTTTAATATTACCCCCATGGTGGAGGAGGAAGTAAGCAGTAATCGCTGCGGTTCTTAATAACAGTGAGCAGGTGGAGGGTCTGAGTGATGAAAAGTCCAGCAGAGACAAGGACAGAGGAGTGCATAGGAGCAATCAGGGGGAACTGAGGCTTCCTGTCTTCCTGTGGAAAAGTGTTGCGGGGTTTGACAATGGCTGTGGGTCATTAGGGCAGGTGGCCCTGCAGATGGGAGGATGGCACACACAGATGTCGGGGTGCAAATATCTGTGAAGCTAAGGTAGATGTCCAGCAGGCTGAGGTTTTGAGTCCACATTGCCATTTGCTAAGAAACAGAATGGATGAGCTGGAAACCCTAAGTATCGTTCATTTATTTATCCATTGCCCCTGAATGAGGCATCAAGCAGGGTACCACGGAGGAGAAAGATGCATGCTCGTCCCAAGGAGCAAGTGGAAGCGAACTACGAGCACAAGTCACTGAGACAGAGAGGTGGCAGCGGACTGTTACATGCGGGGTTGCTTCCCAGAGGAGGGGGCCTTCCATGCAGAGCAGCTAGGACTGGGATGTGGGGACACAGCAGGAATCTGTAAAGCGAGGCGACACTCCAAGGCGTGTGTGAGGGGATGCAGTGCATTGTGGGGCAGCCCCAGAAATGTAGACTAAAGAGGACGTGGGGCAGCAGGGTGGACAGAGCTCATAACAGAGGCAGGGGAGGTCAAGGGGCCTTTTGTGTCAGGGAAAGAGCTCTGGACATGGAGTTGATGGAAAATACCTGAAGGGCTGTGAATCTGATAGGGTGACTAAGGGGGAGCCGTGGTGGATTTTTCGAGCAAGAGGAAGTGACATAATGAAGGTGGTATTTCATTGACCTAATTAAAATTTTAAACACGGCTATAAAATGTTTTTCTCATTATAAAAGTGAAACATTAATTCCAGACAAATTCAAAAGGAGAAAAACCATAAAGAGGAAGAGGCAATGCCGCATTGTCCCGTGACCCACAGATAGAAATTAAATCACTTTAATGCGCCATCGCATGGCAGACTTCTAGCATATGTATGTCCCGGGGAAGATCATGGGACATGTGGGACCCGTGCCCAGGCTTCCGCCCCAGCTGCGGCCGCGTGATGTCTTTCCCTGGTGTTCTCCAGTGTTCATAAGATATGTGAGACGTAAAAATCAAAGCTCTCTTCGTATTACGAGCTCTCAGAACGGTTGAAACCTCATACCCTGTTCTGCATCTTCCTGTAAAACCCAACTCTGCTGGGCGCACGTCTTCTAGAGAGGCATTTGCGCAGTCTCTGTTGGTGTCTTCGGATTTTCTTTTAGTGTGAGAAGGATTTCAGGCAATTGGATTCATGCTGAAGGGTGGGAATGGGGGAGAGGGTGAGCCAAGGGGCCAGGTCTGTGTGGTTTACGTGTGTGCCAGGAGGACCTGCTAGCCACCACGGTAGCACGGCGGGGATGTGGTGACCCTGGGACCCTTTGTTACTCAGTGTACAACACAGGATCCAGCTGCTGCTGCTGCTTTTTCTTCTTCTTTTCCTCCTCCTCCTCCCCTTCTTCTCTTTCTCTTTCTCTTAATGACTTGGTGAAGACTTCTCAAGTGAGAAGATATGAAGCCAAGAGTTTTCTAATTTGATGTACTAACTTCAAAAGGTTTTCTTTTAACGGTGCCATTTCAGAATCTAGAGAGACCCCTTTCAGAATAATTACAAAGTCAAACAAAAATACTACAAAAGCCCTTCAAGTTGAAGTTGAGAGTCTTTTCTTGGACCTTTGCACAGAGCTGCACAGACACACACATACACACCCAGTCCTGCACCTTGCATTGATTTGTTGCATGGTGGTCCTGTGGCACCCTAACACTTGGGCACTTGATAACCATCTTAGTTTGTGTAGGTGCACTCTGTGTTATTCACATGCTGACAAAAAAATCTGTCTGCATTTCTCAGAATGTACCCCATTCTTAAGTGATACCTGATTCTGTGTGTGTATAAAATACGATTAGCACTATGTTTTCCTTGGAAACAGATTCCTAGTTTTTCAGTTGCATGCATGTATCACAGCTTGCTTAATTATTCTTCTATAGGAACTGAGTTCTTTCTTCCTGTTTGGCTGTTCTTGAATGTGTGCTAAGATAAACATTTTTGTACAGAAATCATCGCACGTTAATTTCTTTGAGAAAAATAATCTCAAAAATGGAATTATTGATTGGAGGCAGTGAGCTTTTACAGACTTTTTGATGTGTTGCCAGATTTCTTTCCAGAAAGATTTACCTATGTTGCAGCAGGAGCGTACGAGATGGCCTGCACATTGAGCTGAGGGTTATAGTATGTAGTTCCTTGCTTTGGTAGGCAAAAAGAGTATTTCTTTATCATGTGTATTTTTCTTTTTCTCTTTTTGGATTACTGGTGAGCCAGTACTTTTATGTAGGACATTTCTTTATCTCAGGATTTATTGCTCATGTTCTAAAAATATTTATTTATTGCTTAAATTCTTAATATGTAGTAATACTGAGCCAGGTATGGTGGCGCATGCCTGTAATCTCTATACTTAAGAGGCTGAGGCAAGAGGATTGCCATGAGTTCAAGACCACCCCCTCACTTGTACTATTATGTTACACATTTTCCCCCAGTTTATCCTTAATCTTTGAGCTTTGTGGTAATTTTCTAGTGTATAGAACTGCATAATCTCTGAGTAACATTTTGACCCTTCTTTTTAAGATCAAGGTTATTATTATCTAATTATTTTGTTACAAAATTTTATTTTTTTGTAGGAGTAAGAGTGCTTTTTATATTTTTATTCATATCTAATTGTATTAAAATAAAATATTTTAAAGTAAAAAATATAGTAAATTTTTTTGCATTTTCTTTCATTGTTTTAATGACTAGAAATGCCAGTCCCTATATTTTATTCTTGCTTTATGGCTTCATTTAGAAATAATTATTCCTTAAAAGAGTATAACAAATTGGAATTTATGTGTTATTATGATACGGGGTAGGACTGAAGTGTATTTTTCCTCAAGTAGTCCCCTAAAATACAAAGGTTAGTTTATTTGTAAACCTGTTTTACTTTGTGGGTTTGATATTGGCAATGATATGAGGCTAGGTTTTAGGCAAGCTGTAGGATAATAATCAGCTAGGACTCTAGGTGTGCAATGCCAGGATTAACCAGTAGGATGAACTGGATAGGACTGGGCAGGTGCTTCAGCTCTGGCACATTATCTTGGGGTATCCCTGTTAATAGGAAACTCACTAGAGAGACTGTTGCCAGAAAAGAGTTTTATGAGCGTTTTCATCAGCACTTTGTTTTTTCAGAGCATGGCACACACTCCTGATTTTGATTAGAATCGTATCCATTATCTCCTCCAGTGAATTGACCATCTTTTCCAGCCAAGAGGTGAATCAAGAGGATAAGGGGTGGGAGGTGTTCAAGGGACAGAGGAGAGACTGGCTTAGAAAGGCTGAGTTCCTGGAAGTAGCCCCTCACTCCCGCACCCCCCAGGAATCCATCTTTCGTTCCAAGCTACCCTTGTAACATGCATCTTGGGGACAGACAACTTGGCCATCTGTTGGTTCCTTGAGTTCTCAAGACAACACAATATAAAAGACAAGTGTTGCATTTTATGTCTTTGCTTGTAAAGATCTGGGATGTCGTGCCCAAAGCCATTGGGTGCTTAGTGTCCCCTGGTTTATGTTCCCTTGTTCTGTCGCTGAACAAACACTCATTGAGGGCCCTAGCAATGCAAGCCATGCCAGACACTAAGGAAGGCTACATAGGAGAAAAGAGAGGTTCTTGTTCATCAAGTGCTTCCGTAACCCAGAAGGGAGAGCTGGACTTGTGATTCCGGGCAGTGATCTTTCCCCGGCACCATACTTCTTGGCTGCAAGCTCCTTGGCTAATACTGGCAGGAACATGACTGACTTGCTTCATTGACTGGAAGTTGGTGGCCATTCTTTCTTCGCTGCAGGATCCTCAGACTACAGAGGGCAACCACTGCTACTCACCATTGGTAAGGCTGGTTACTGCTATTGGGCAGACACGACCTTTCATCCTTGGAAACTCCGTGTACAGCTGTAGTTTTCCTGGGTAGGCAAAAGCTCGGCTGCTTTGGTGCACATTTTGCTGGCTAATGAATGGCTTTGTGCCAACGCTTGCTCCCTTGGCATCTGCACCCTTGTCTTGACAAAGTTGATGGAAAGCTAAGTTGAGTTTTGGGCCGAGCAGCCTCAAAACGTGCATAAGATGATTCCAGGGACAGAACTTCTAATGGAGGAATTGGGTGAAGTCATAAGAAAGGGTGTAAATTGGCCTAAGCGATCATTCATAATGTGGTAGGCGGCGCTGCTTCCTGCTCTGCAGATGGCCTTGGGGATACAGGCAGCCGAGGTCCCCAGGACATAGTGATCCCCTGAGGAATGAATGACAGGACAAGCATCTGACTCACTTTTTAGACCCAACCCCTGAGGCTTGACTGATACCGATTAGAATAAAAGAAAACTCACGTGAGGCAGTTAATGTAGGTGACAGTTACCACTGCCTACATAGTGGGCTTGAGTGACCTTGAAGGAATGAGGGAACTTGGGTAATAATTAGATT